TGGACAGTTTAGTGTAGTGTTTTATTTGGTATTAGGATTTTTCAATATACTTCATAATCTAAGAAGGGGCAGCATTTTAAGCTATATTTTCATTGTTTTAATTTACATGTTAGCTAAAGGGTACATGATGTTAAAGTAGGTCTAGAATACCTAAACTATTTTAAATAATATTATGAAAAGTTAGTAACTTCGATGAATATCTAAAAGTGAGGCATCAGATACAAATATGAGTGGGCCAGTCAATAAATAAGTTGGCAGTGAATCGTTTGTTTTTCTCAGTGCCAATCATTCAGTGAAGTACTTAATTTGAGTTAAGTGTTTTGATCAGTGTTAATTATCTCGTATCATCAATTACTCAATTGATTAGCCATAAAATTGAACAAGTAAGTTTATTTTTTACTTAGTCATTATACCATTAGCGAGGTATTTCTGTTTGAAAGTCATCTGTAAACTTTTGTTTACAAGTAACAACAGTGTACAAGCAAAGGCAGCTTGTAGAAATGTTAAAAAATAAATATACGTATTTATCATCGTTATGTGAATTCGCCTTTTGATTACTTTCACCAAATAATTTGAAATAACCTGCCCACCGAAAGAACAATCTCATAACCATAGTGCTGTATTGTTGCTCTTTTGTAATTCAATAATCACAATAGCAAAAACACATCCAAGTACTTCAAGGAAATGCACTGAATGATCCAACTCTTTATCTTGAAATAATTCTATCTATCTGCTTGACTATTTTTCAATTAATTCGTATTTATAATCCAGCTTTGAATGTACGAGAATAACTTTAAGTCAACATAGAAGTTTCTAGGCCCTATTGTTAATAAACACATTACAACATTAAAAAATATAGCTTTCAACACTGCTTCTTCCTGTATTGTGAAATCATTTTAATAATCCTAATACAAAAAAATAGATAAAACACTATACTAAGCAAGGTGCTTTTCTCTTCCAATAGCTCACGGACTTTGGATGGGATGATGTCCTATCCCTTGTCACTGGCTGTTCTGTTGCTGTGGCATTTCTTTCTGGGTAGGTGGTCAGGTGAAACTACTGGTGGTTCTATCCTTGATAATTCTCTATAAGCAATCTCTTGAGGAATCTTGGGCTTTTCTGCAGGTTAAAGTTCTACTGACAAGTTTTTTCTCTTGAATTACACAGTTGGCTAATCTCTCTTTGATCTACTTCCAAAAACAATCATAGTTGATACACTTTAGCATGGATCACCTCTCCTCCTAACACCTACTTAGCTTTGGAGTTTGTCTTCTCTCACAATGAGAAGAGTTCAGCTATACCATGTCACATCAATGGAATCCAGTTTTATTAACAATTTCATTGTACTACTTTTCTCTTTACTGCATGCTGATGTGGGTTTTGCCCAGGAACAGTGGTATATGATATCTTTATTCTTTACATTCAAGAAAAGCTCTTCCAGCTACTAATCCCTCATGGCATGCTGGAGTATTTGGTTTCACTATACACCTGTCACTAGATAAAAAAATATTACTTTTAACTTTTAAATGGCACATTGACCACCATACCTGTTCCAATGGAAGTTCAACCTTCAATGTAGTAATTGGCATATAGTATACAAGGATTTCCTGGTCATCGGCTGTGAATATTTTTTAGCTGGGTAGTCCTCACGTCCGTCTGTCTACATGAAGTAAGTTCCCAAAATATACTCTTCATTGAAGTTAATTACTTGCACATTACGAGGCATAGATAAGCTTTCTACAACAAGGGCAACTTACAACTTTCCTTTTGCTGGAATTTTACCTCCTCCTACTGTTTGCATCGAACCCCCGCGCCTTTTTCATTTTTGGAGGTATTTTCTTATCTTTCACTAATATATCAGGACAATGATTTGTAGCTGTGGAACTAGTGTCAATTAGTATACTGTAAGGTTCTCCATCAATAAGTTCACGGACTCGTGGACGATTTTCCTCAAATAATGAGCCTCTTTTCTCACTTGGGACAGATGGAGTATTTTTAACTGATCTTCATCTCATAAATCCTATTAATTTAATTAATGTTTTCTTAGTGTATCCTTACCTCTTTGTTGCTCCTTTGATCTGGTTGAGTCCGATTATTTGTCCTAATAACAGCTGTTGATGTCTT